GTTCTTACAAAAGTTTTAAAGGTAGAATTACCTTCGCGAAGAATAATAAGCATTATCGCTCACAAGGGAAAAACTTTAAAAGAAGTGTTGAGACCTCTTCTAAATAAATATGGTTTTAATTTAGATTTAATTAGTATTTGGAGCGAGGGCCATTGTGTTCCTATGGATATTATAGCCATTAATGCTCCTACGCGCATTATTGTAATGACGAATGAAGAAGGTTAGTATATCCATATATAATTACATATTTTAATTATAAAATATAGAAAAATTGTTTTTATACAAATTAAACCATTGAAAATAATATTTGTATTTATCGTCTGTTTTGCAAAACAATCTTTGCGTTAAGAAAACTAAATTTTTAATTTTATTATAAAAATAGATTATTGTAATTTGAAATAAAATTAAAGTGAAATATGATATTTAATAATTAATACGATTAATAATTAATATAGTTTTAATAAAATTGATAAGAGATATTCTTTTTTCTAATCTTTTTTGTTATTTTTTATAGATTGTCAACGGGAGTTACATACTACCAAATATTTGGATGAAGTACCACACGCACAACCAACTCTAGATGAAATTACAAATAAAGTATTTGAGGAACTTTTAGTTGGGAAAAGTAAAAATAAATATCAGTATAGTGAAGGGTCATGTAAGGTAAATAAAATAATATTTTAGGTAAATGAGTAAACAAATATTTCCGTTATTCAACAAGTATCTTTAATATTATGCAATATCTTTAATATTTTCTTTGCATTGAATTATTTTTTATAGTCTGATGATCAACGTTCGGAAGGATCTTCTATATTATCTAGCAAATTCTTTCTTCGAGACTCGACAATTCACGGGAAAAAAAAGGTAGAATATTCGATAATTGTATTTTTTTAATTAAATTAAAAGTTTATATATACATGATTGATTTTCGATTTTCTTGATTAAGATGAAATCTAAATATTGCAATACGAGTGAGAAAAGTAATACAAACGATTGTATACATGAGGCAGCACCCGTTAAATCTCAACCACCACTTATCGCAAAATGGCGTAATGGTGTAAAATTGCAGCTTCCAGGCAGATTTGATGGAGATGGTAAGGAGGGTATATGTATATATAACTTCTTTATAAAATATCTTTTAACCTGGATGGATTCAAATTTTCAAGTTATTTTATAAGAATTATTTTAACAATAGTATTAAAAAGATAGTAATTAATTAATTTAAAATATAAAATATAAAATATAAAAAATATAAAATATAAAATATAAAAATTAAAATATAAAAAAATAACAGATTTATTAAAGTTGTAATTATTTTTATAGATTTATACGAGGGATTAAAAAGGGCGCAAAGATCGAGATTGGAAGATCAGAGAGGGACGGAAATCAATTTCGAGCTACCAGATTTCTTAAAGGTTAGTATAATTACGTATGCACTACATAACGTAAGTACTATAAGTACTCAATTTATTCCATCTAGTTAGAGGGATTTATAGTAGCAATAGAGAATGTACGAGAATGCACAAAACATGTAAGATTTCTATATCATACATATGCGTTTCGACTCTTAAAGCTATGAAATTACTGATCAGAACAAAGAGAACGGGAAACCATCGGATTCCAACAAGATACGAAGAACTCGGATAGTGTCGGCCAATTGTGAAGGCACCACAAAGTTTTACGATTCCAGTGAAGATAAGCAGAATAGCAGCGGATACGAGTACTCCGCGCACGTGACAAACGGAACGACGAATGAACGATTCTCAGCCTTGATTAATTCTACCGAGCCTCTAAATAAATGCCTTAACAATTCGTTCACCCTAGACGGCGATAGGACATTAATGGATGGAGATCAAACGATCGTCGAAAATGGTATCGATTCGCCAACGAAAAGTCCGCACTCGAGAAACTATGGTACGGATGTGTCGCATATAAAATTGTCGAAACCTCCACCGTTGCCACCGAAGCCTAAAAATCTTGTCGTGAATGTAGTGAAGAGTGGATATATCGCATCTCCAAAAACTCTGCAAAGACCTAATCATGTGATCGAATAGAGCAAATACTGTGAGAAAAGAGAATGTGTGTAAAGAGAAAAATAGTAATGTTCTTAGTAATGTTTCGTGATTAGCATAGTGTTTCATGTGATGCCACGATTAACCGTTTTGAATATGATGTGCTACGATATTTGAGTGAAGCCCTTTATTGTATTTGTGAGAGAATTAGGAGTAACTCCGTGTGGGAGTTTATACTGGGGCAACACTATTAATCGTATATTATACATTTTTTTATCATATATTTTCACATTTCGCAACTTAGATTTCGAAAACGCCTTGTCTGTGCCTTAATCCTGGAATGCTATCATACGCCGTTTTTAATGAAATATTCTGATTGTTTAAAAATATTTTTTTATTTTATACTTTTGTGTGTACTGTGTTTATTTTGCGTTAATGTTGAGTTTAAAGTTAATTCTGCACCTTTTATATATATTAATTTTTATTTTGTTTTATTTAAATTGATATACAATAATGCGTGTGAATAACGCATACTTTCATATGAGAGTTGATTTGAGCGGATTCCAATACTCACATTCCTTGTATATGTGTTTCAATTTATAAAAAAAGAAACGGAAAGTTGTAAATAAAAGAGTGGAATAGAATTGCAATCCACTTCGAGAGGAAGAATAGCTGCGATAATAATAAAATAAACAAAATAATTGTATAAATAAATAAAATGATCATTTTATTACGTAATATTTACGTATTAATGTTAATATTATTCAATGGCGATAGCATCCTAGGATTAAATTAGATATATAATAGTAAACGCATGATAAATATATTATATATTTTATATATTCGATTTTCTCTACAAAACAGTCTAGATCAGAGAAAAACACACACATAAGAAAAGTCCAGATGACAATTTATGCGCTTATTAGATGATTATATAGGAACAAATGTTAAAAAGTATGTATTTTGAAAGAGCATAATAGAGAAATAAAAAAGGGGGATGATTTATTTTCAGTATTTCAAATAATTTTATTAATTAGATGTAACTTTTCCAAAGAGAGATCATGCTCTATACAATAATTTTGATAAAACTATTATATGCACGCTGGAAGAAAAATGTACGTGCATCGCTTCGTAATAAAGAAAAATAAATGGAACAAATTCATCATAGAGAGTATTATGCGAAGCAAATTTATTTATACATCGTTGGTAGGGTACCTGTTGTGACTGATGCTAATATGTTACTTGGCTATCTAAATTGAAGCGATTAATAAATTTCCAAAGTTTTATAGGAAAACCCTTACGCCGCATTCCAATCTTTTTTCGTTTCTAAAAATAAAAGCATTCTGCTTATATTATTCTCTATATCTTCCACTAAAATTAAGTACAATTATTTAACCATTTTTTTATATGATTAATATTTTGTAACATTTAATTAAAGTACAAATATTAGATAGTTTAATACTAGAATAATTGTTTATTAGAAAAAAACTCTCAGACGAATACAACGAAAATTAAAGTATATATCATTAATGTAATAAATAATTTTTTAAATTATATTGCACAATAAATCTTAATTTATTTATAAAGAACAAATATTAATATTTTCGTTGATTATTCAAGTATTTATTTAACTATATAAAATTAATATGTGTAACTATAATGTCTTATGGGAAATGAGTTCTTGAGCAACTTTTCGAATAAAGACATTCGAGTTTTCATGAAAATGCTGTTCAATCCTTGTCAACATTGTCTTCCACCTCTGTGAAAAAAAATGCTTGTTAAGCATTTTTCCATCCATGGCTAAAACATATTGTGTTTCAAAAAGTTATTAATTACTATACGAAAAAAAATGGAATTATCTTAATGCGTTAAAATTGAATGAAAATCTCATAAAATATTCTATATAGCACAGAAAGACTGTCGAAATACTCTCATTGAAATATTGCAAATAAATTGCAAAGCATTACTGCAGCATTGCGGCAACGTTAAAATGTTTGCTTTTTATAAGCAGACATCTGCAATGAAACATTACAACGCAACATTGCAAAGTAATATATTCTTTATGAAAATAAAGTCAATGAGATTAATTGGTCTATGTAAATGGAAAATAATAGGTTGTTATACTGTGAATAAAAAATATACATTTTTTTATAAGAAAATGCGATAAAATACTCTTTTTAACTATATTTGCTGATAATTATAAAAATGCTTAGTTTTAAACAAAATTAAATATTATCACGTTTGTGCGCGCGCGCGCGCGCGCGTGTGCGTCTAATGACATCGAAATAAATCATAAAATTAATATTATATTATGGATTGTTTAAATTTTTATACCTGTGCCAAACTCCTATAAGATTGTCAATGTTTAACGATAAAGATTAAACCGGTAATATTCTAGGATAAAAAGCATCTTATTTAATTAACAAACGAATGCATATTTTCATTATGTATACATATATTTTATGGCCGATATGAGAGATCTTAGAGTCATCTCTAAACATATTATTTTCTCTTATTCATAATAGTAAAATTCGATTATTCATTTCATTAAATAATAATTATAATCTGTATATGCAAAAGTCTTTTATGTAAAGATGTAAAGATAAAAAAGACTCTAGTTGTTCATGAATTCAATATTGATTATATATTTTTAATCATTTTTAAGAAGATGTAAAAACCTTTAAGTAGAGAATTAAATAATACAATTTATCCAAAACGTGTAATGTTACTACGGAAAATAATTACAATTTAGCAAAAATTTCGGGACCGAGTGTGATGCACTCGTTACCCTTCTTTTCCTATTCACCTTGTAAACTAGCCTTGTAAACATAATAAAAAAAAAAACTAATAACTGAAAGATAGATACGTCGTGTTTGGATGAATGGGGGGCAAAGGGTGGAGGGGGGAGGGGGGGGAGAGCATACCAAAAAAATGGAGCAGAGAAATATATGTACGATACGAACAAACCGTTTTTTCCCACTCCACCACTTCCTTTTTCCTCCCACTCCACTATCCCCTTCTTCCTCCGACCGCCTCCTCCCGTTTCGCGCCTTTCCTCGCCGATCCACCCGCGCGCGCGCGCGCACTTGTCACGATTCTGCGACCTCTCGCCATTGGTAGCAGTGTAGTCTCATAACGTTTGATTGACGAATTAGAAACGATTGTCGATCTCCTTGTATATTTCGGAGTGTCGGTGCACTCCGCGCGGAACATCGTTGAATAACGTTTCGAGACTCGTGATCGTTCCGGACGATTCGTCGCAACTGTTGTTATCCTTGTTAACTAACCGCAACGAGTTGATTTCGCGCCGAAAGTGGTCGCGCCGCGATGTGGCGCAACGCGGCGCGGCGCGACGCGGCGCGAGTAAATCCGAGTAAACCGCCTGTCGCCGATCGATGACGAGGATCTCGCACCACCCGGTTAATGTGATCCCGTAATCCGGTGATCCCGTCGACGACACGCGTGCAACTTGAGAGTTCCTCCCGGCGATATCTCGGCGCACTGCGTGAACTTTTGCACATACAGGGTGCGTTGAAAATCTCATCGATTTGAAAACGAGCTTTCAAAAAGCAAGCTTTAAAGGCTGCGGCGAGGGAATCCAGACGAACGACATTATTTACCTCGGGTAATTATTTAACACGTCAAAAATATTGTAAATATATTGGTATGATATATTACAGCATATAATATGTATTATAGTATTGATGTCTATTTGTAACAATGTAGATTAACTTTAATTTCAATTTGACTTATTTCTCATCTTTTCTCTCTCTAAGAATTAGATAAAGATAAAGAGTGAGATTAAAGTCAAATTATATTGATATAAATTCGACATGAGAATCGCTCTCTCGATCGACGCTCGGTCAAAATAGTTGCGCGTCAAGGGTACAAACAGGTATCAGGCACAACAATTCCTCGAGTAATAGTCTTCCCGTGAGTTTTCGTTTCTTTTCTTTTTTTTTCGAGCGTCAATGGAGAACAAGCCGATGGAGAACACGCGCGCGGTAGAAAGAACGCGCGCTTTCCGTTTGGATTTTTGAAGGATTCAGTCTCGTGAATGTAGAAATTTGTCTTCACATGCAAATTTCCAAACTGTTTTCTTTTGTTTTGTTAGTAAGAATGGCACACCCGATGTATGGTCGAGGTCGGCGAGAAGTCTTACCGGGATTTCCGGGAAATTTAACGACTCGGATCGACTTAAATGGCTTCGGCATGTAAAAAGTCATAATTAGAAAAGACATAGAAAGACATGTTTCTGTTTGAATGCGAGAGAAATTAGGCTTGTTCTTTTTAGCTCGACTTCTTTTTCACCAACGTGGAGATAAAGATGAACCGTGCAAGTTCAGCTAAAAAAAACAGATCTATTCTCACGTTTCACTAGTAATTATAATTGCAACTGTTTTAGCTGTTTTTTATCGATCATATTTGCTCCCTCCCCCTTCCCCCATTCACCAAGTAGATTTAATGTGAAAAAATCATTTGACGAAATCATTTGACGAACCGCGCTTGCATTCGCTGATTGATAACTTGTTGATCGCAATAAAAGTTTACGTAAAAATTTTATTGAAATCGACTTTGCGATACGTTCTCTCTTTCCGGAAATAAATTTCTTGAATCTCTGAAAAAAAGAGCTCGAGTCGATAAACTGACTTAAAGTGGAAATTTCATCCAGAGTGGAATTATTTGTAGTTTTTTTTTTTTTAAAAGTAGCTCGGGGTCACATTAAACTGATTTAAAGTGAAACTTGATAAAGACGATCTTTCGCATCAGTCAGTAGATTAGGTTACATCGGATGATTATTATATTAGGATGTAAGAACAAGGAAATGTATATATGTACGACATACGCGAAAAATTAAAATTAAATTAATTATAATAAAAACTTGTATTAATAATAAGAAATAGATAATTTCTAAATTAAACGTAGCCAGACAGAGGCATTATCGCCACGTGTTTTTGATATCAGCATTATCGTCGTAACCGCCGTTTTTGCGTCCTGTCGTCTCGAGCGAAACAACGATATTAGAATAAGCACGGAACGTCACATAACAAATTTTAAAATCGCATGTGTGTACATGCAAAAGCATATACATACATGATATGCTTTCGGGAATAATTTCTTTTCGAAACTCTCGAGAAAATTACGCTTTATGCTTACAACTAGATTTGATGATTTTCGATAGCTGAGCAATATACTGTAATTTCAAAAATTATTTTACACTTTTACGTGATTTATTGGATAGACATTTTACTTTCTATTTTTTTACAAGTTTTAAGAATATGAAAATATCGTATTTTTAAGAGAAAGGTATAAAATAAAGTTATATGGCGCAAAAAACTTTTTGCATGTCATTTCTCATCTCTGATGTCACATAATTCACGTCGCGCCGTGAGAGAGTCAAGCCTTAAAGTGTAAAGATAATGAATAGTGATAAGTAACTCAGATAGCACAGGATGTTCAAAATCATCCAGCATACAGAATTCAGGACATCTTGAATTCTGTATTTATCCAGAACAGTTTTAAGACATTTTGTACTGTCTGGGAAGAGAAAATTAGAAAGGTAAATAATACTGGGAGAAAATAGCTTATTTCTGAATACACGATGAATACATCCGAGTATTGTTATATATATAATATATTTTTATCTTTCTCGATTATAATTAATTTTGAAAAAATTTCGCAAAAAGAGATTGGACAAGATAAGACGAGCACATGACATTGACATGATAATTTGACACTCGTACACATACTCGACACACATAACGAACCAATGCGGATGAGATGTAACGACAAAGTCTCGTTTCCGCCACTTGAAGTGCCATTGTGTATTCGCGATCTCTATTTGTTGTGACTATGAAACAATATGAGATGATTCTCGTGATATGATTCTTGCGGTAACGATCATAGATTTCACCAAAAGTTTCGCGGTATCGTGAATTTTCCATCGGTAATGGACTTAAGTTTTACATTCTTTGCTTCGAACGATGTTTATTTCCAACATATATTCACTTTATTCTCGGTTTAATTTATTTTTATTTTTTAATTCTAAGAATTAGAAGAAGATAAAGAGTAAATTAACCCGAAATTATAAAATTTAGAAATTTAGAATCGTGGAAATGGAGCATTAAGGCCTTAAATATACATTTTATATCTACTTCTACCAGTGGATTCGTTCTACATGTAGATTAATTTTAATCTCGATTTAACTTATTTTTTTATTTTCTTCTTTGACTTTTAAAAATTAGAAAGAGAGAATAAATTAAATTGAGGTCAAAAATTAGTCTATATTGATAGAAAAGGACACGAAACATTAATTTATTTCGCGGCATATTCTTTCTTCGGATATCGGAAGAAAAAAATCGCTGAAGAAACGTCTTTTTTTTCTCTCCTAGAAGCCAACGTCGCACCCCTGCCTGACGTCGACTCGACGATAAATTCGAGAGATCGCATTTCGTGCATTTCCGACTTGGCTCGAGAACGAGTTGCTGTCAACGTTGATACAAAATAAACGTTCGATAACGCTAGGATGGAGAAGAGATCATCACCCGAGGTATCTCTTGGATGCCTCGGCAAAACGCCGGATACTGCGGACATCGAATCGCCGATGTCTAACATCGCCAGTAATCTGTCTAAATCGTCACTGGATTCCGGCGGTTCGAAAAAGCGGCATTTTTTACGTTCAAAAGGTACGTGACGAAACTAGCAAGTCGATACGAAATAACTCAAATTTTTTTTCAAACGCAGAAGAGATTTAACATAATATATAACTAACTAGCTAACTATTGATCTTGAAATATGAACTAATTGAAATATGAACAATTTTTAACTTGTACATATTTTATTTTAAGAATCAGTTTCCCAACTCCTCTTTTTTTTTTATAAAAATTAGACTGTTTGATTATCTAAGAATAATACAACTATAAAATGTTATCCTGAATTATAGTAAAAATGAAATAAGACTTAAAAAAATATATGAATATGTAACTTCAAAATTACATTTTCGTTACAAC